GTTCAAGGAAAAATGTGGAAAAAAAAATATATATATAGTGAATATACACTTGGAAGTGTCATGCTTTAGTGAAACTTGTAGCTTTCCCCTTCAACTTAAGTACAAAGAATGATTGGGTGGCACTTTTGCAAAATTTCAAATAAAATCTATGTGATATGTACAGTGGAATGAAAGATAAATGTGCTTTTAAAATTATTGGAAACTGTGTGTCACTACTGGAACAGGTCATCTATCACAGAATCAAGATTTTTTTCAGAAAAGCCAACACCAATCTCTTTTTCTAGAAAACCTTGAAACGATGTTTTAAAAGTAGCATAACAACAATGATATTGCATAAAAGATAAAAACATTTTGTGTCTCCCTAGTGAAAATTTGTAATTACATTTCAACAATTATTCTTTAACTAATATGTATCTAATTTTACATTTATCTACTTAATTATCTTCTACAAACAACTCAATTTAAATGACAAAAGGAAACTCAAAGGAAGTCTAAGAATGTTAAGAATAACAGAAGTGAAAGTGGTTTGAAAGAAAAGGGATTTATTTATTGTATAGTTCTGGCTAAACCACTTAATATCTAAATTTCAGTGTGTAAATCTGAAAATGAACTTTTCAGAATTATGGACAAAATATGAAAAGTAATGAATGCTATGTGTTAGACGCAGTGCATGATCAACATCAATATGAAAATTAGAGTCATGCAGAGGGTTAAAAATAGATGGCCCAAAATTCCAAGCATCATTTCTACATCGATAGCGCATGAGAGCTGCAAAGGAACTTAACCTACATTAGATGCAGGCACTGATGCAAGAGTTAAAAAGTGATTGATCTGAGCATATCAAACAACTAGAAACAGTTTCTGGTTTGACTGAATGGTCATTAAATTTCTAGTTCAATGTTCTTGCTTCTCTGTGCTATAACTGCTTATGGTATCCATATTCAACAAATAAAAATATAGAATGCCTAGTTATATCTGATTTTCAGAGTTTAAAATTTATATATATATATTATTTATCTTTTAGTATGTTTCATACAATATTATACTAAAAATTATTAGTGTTTACCTGAAGTTCAGAATCAACTGTACATACTATGTTTTATCTTGCAATCCAATTTAGGATAAAAAGGGGCAACAGTTACAGAAACCTGGAATATGCAGTTCTAAACTTCCAAAAATCTTAGTTTTAGCAAAAAACCATCACAACCTGGGAAAATCCTACTCATACTTAAATGCGCACCTCACTGGCACCAACTTTAGAAATTCATCTTTGCTTCTTCCAATGCTCATAAGGCATTTCAGTTCTATGTTTTCTGAGAATTAATCACATTCCTGCCATGAACTGCATGTTAGATTCATACGGGTTTGTCTCTTCTACCCCTTTGTGAGCTCTTCGATGATTGATATTGCTGTTTTTTAAATTATAAATCATTGTATCTGCAATGTATCTAGCCCAATGTCTTGAAGCAGCACTGTATCTGAACAACATCTTTTAAAAAGAGCATTTCTTATCAATCATAGCTATGTTTCCAAAGTTACACCGAGTCAATGGCATCATCTTCATCATAATCATCATGAGAGAAACAAGTATTATTGAGTGCTTACTGTGCTGTGGAACTGTGATAATTTCTTAGAATTCATATACTCACAAACAATCTTAATAGGTAATTCTCACCAAAAAAAAAAAAAAAAATTCACAACCATCTTAATAGATAAATTCTCATAGTTCTTACCCATGTTTCTGATAAGGCAACTAAGCCCAAAGACTAGAATAAGAAAAAGTTATTTAGGTTAGCCACGATTACATAAAAGGAAGCAGCAGATCTGGGCCTCAAACACAAGACCATGTTTTCAACAACTTCTGGAATACAGTGATAGACACAGGAATGTGCTCATATTGCTCTGCTTTTGACTCAAAGACAAGTGTAGGGGCCGTAGCCCATTTAAATGAATAATACATGGGCTACTCTCAACTCCTAATTCACAAATTATTTCTAGAAAATAACTGTGGCTTCCTCACGCATGCATTGACGAAGGCCATCTCAGTTATTGGGTGAGATGCACTATTTTTCTACTGATCCTTTACAGGTGTGGCTGAATGTGGTATTGCCAGTCCCTCAGTTTTTTGAGGCCTGTAATTGCACCATGGCACAGACACAATAATTCTAGTTCCTGCTTTTGAGGGAAATTCTGCTCATTTCTTTTTTTTTTTTTTTTCCTTTTTTGTCTTTTTTCGTGACCGGCAACGGATCGCAACCCTCAGTGTCACGCCCGTAACGTGACCGGCAATGGGATCGCAACCCTCGGTGCTTCTCCCGCACCTCGCTCAGCCAGTGAGCGGGAACCGGTCTGTATGTGGGATCCGAACCCTCGGCGGGAGCGCCGCCGCGCTTCCCAAGCGGCGCACTGTAGCAGTGCGCCACCGGGCCGGCCCCGTGCTCATTTCTTTTGTAACAAAAAAGCCTAATAGATGAGGATACAAAATAAGAGCACATAGTTCTAAATGTATTGAGTGTTTATAACATGTCAGGTGCTGTTCTTACTATCACACACGTGCAAATTAATTTAAAGTGCACAACATCTCTCTAAATATGACACTATTATCCATACCCATATTACAAATGGAGATTAGTGAGGCCCAGAGAGGTCAAGTCAGGTGTTCAGCACATAGCTAGTAAATGTCAAAGATGGGGCCAACCACCTGCTACTGCCCTAACACGTCCTGGGTTACGGTGCTGTGCTACTGCCCTTGAGCTAGGATGCACGCTTCTCTGAAGTACAGAACAGTCCTCTCACTTATTTTGCATCCCACTTTGTTGCATTTGTCCCAGAGAACAACATCATTGCATACTGATGATTAACAAACACTTCTCAGAGATTTCACTCATAGGTCTTCCTAAGAGCCATGTCTGGAACCCCACTGGAAAACTCAAAACAACCATTTCATTCTGATTCTTAATACTCAGGACCAGGCTTTCTGAGTCAAATCTCTCTTCTCACGTTAGATTTCTTTCCCATCGCCCTCCTTAATCCTGCCAGTCCCAGCCTATCCCTTATGCCATGCGGACTGAACGAGATGAGTCTAAATCCTAAGGCAGCTATGTTCACATTCAGGCCATGGTGTTGTGTATAAACCATCAGGGCATTTCACTGCATAAGAGAAAGGGGGAAAATGGGAAAGTTACCATGAAGAAGAAACGGAATAGATTGAAAGTAATTTTCTGGTGTTTTCTCAATTATGTGTAAAATTAGAAGAACATGAGAAAGTCATTTTTGTTCATCATATTGATGCTTATGAGTGTTCAGTTCTTTGAAAGCAGCTCTCCCTTTGGAAGGTTTGCAAGGACAAATTTTAATGAACTTATGCTCAATTGTGTCTTTAATTAAAAATATAAAATCACAACCCCTTAAATACTTTGAACTAAAAATACTGGCAGTTGAAGAACAAAACTGACATACTCTCTTCATCTCAAAGTCTGAAAGAATGACGTTTAGATCATTTAACATCTTTAAAATAATTTCCTTTAAAATTAATATATCCAAGGAGAATAAAATTATATATTTTATATCTTTTTCAAATACTTATAAACTATAATTCCATATAATTTTCCTAAATCCAGTAATTCTACATGAGAAAACCCAAGTTCATTTGTCAATTGTGTAAAAGATCATTTAAGTTACCTTTATTAATTTCTATTACAAATATAGGCCATGTGTTCGACTGTTTTCCACATAACACCTTTATGGAAGGTGTTGTGGTGGATCATGTGAAACTTCTATTGTTCTGTTCTTTTAGACCTACAAAATGGTGATTACACATGGTTCTGCCTAACATATGTCGTGACACACGTTCAGACCCATGACCCATGGCATAAAAAAGGCAATAGGAGATACTATATATTCAGACCCGTTGACTTAAATTTTGCCCTAATTGTCTAGCCTGTTCAGCAATTTTTCATTGACAAAACCCCATTCCTTTCTCCCAAAGATTTTTTTTTTTTTTTTTAAAGATGACTGGTAAGGGGATCTTAACCCTTGGCTTGGTGTTGTCAGCACCACGCTCAGGCAGCGAGCCAACCGGCCATCCCTATGTGGGATCCGAACCCGGGGCCTTGGTGTTATTAGTACCACACTCTCCCGAGTGAGCCATGGGCCGGCCCATAAAAAGGTTTTATTATTTATTTATTTATTTTTTGGTGACTGGGTTTTTTTTTTTTTTTTTT